AGTGATGGAATTACTATTTTTTCTTTCTTCTTGTTAATAAGTTTTATTGAACAGAAGCTAACAGAAACGTTACAAATATACAGTTTTCATATGCTCTAAGATTGGGCAGAAGTAATTTATATTATCCCACCTCTTCTCCTGTRACCTTATTCCATCACTTCTTAGTGATCAAGAAAATTATTCTTAGTTTCTTAATCCAACAACACTTTCTGTCAATTCATTTTTAGTTTAAACCGTYTGAAACTTGACAGTTTTGTTTCAACATTAAACACCAGTTTACAAGTCTGTCCTTAATGTTTATAATTTCACCAAGTTAGAATTAGTTTCTATTTACATAATTAGTTCCTTTGAGAATGTCTTCTATATCAAAATAAATGTGTTACTGCATTTAAAAATCAAATTGAATCGAATCGATTTAGGAAATCTGAATCATACCCAGCCCTATTAAAAACCTTTAAACTTGTTTTCGTTCAAGATTTAACTCCAATTTACAAGTTTCTCCTTAAATCCTATTGTTCATGGTGAAGAAAAAAAAAGTGAATTTGTATTTTGCAACACAGCTTGATCCATTTTCATTATTTAAGAGCAGATTGAAGTGAATSATTGGCCATGGTACCAGCCCCACTTATTAGTGTTTTGTTCTTTTCCAGCTTCCAGCTCCTGTTCTTCTCTTTGCTCTAACAGCTCTGTTACATTCAAAACTCAGTCTTCACTGGATTTTCTCATTTTCCAGTTTTTCGTGCATTTCTCTTAACGGTTATCTAAACATAAATATTTACTAGTTTCATGAAATAAAGGCCTCTGATCCTCACCTGGATCCCCGGTTAGCTGCGCCGTCTGGCTCGGTGCCGACTCACTGCTGACAGGCTCGGCGCTGTTCGGTACTCATCCAATCAAGCGGGTGGAGGAAGAAGAGGAGGACACTTGGTGGTGGGTCTTTTCTTTTAAAACCAGGTTTCTGGGGCAGAATATCTGAAAAACAAGAAAAGAACCAGAACCAGWGCAGCAGAGTGAGCAGTTAAAATAACTCAGTTTTAGAAACAATGGGCCTCATGCAAGAACATGTTGGTACGCACAGATTTGTTCTTAAGTTGTGCGTACGAGTGATTTAGGAGAATTTGTG